CCCCCCCAAATTTTTGTGATTTCCCCCCCCCCCCCATAGTCTTCTCCTAGTGCCACCGCCACCACCTGCCCCAAGCACAGTCCCCATGCTCCGGGAAGAGCCCAGCACTGCCCCAGCCCCTGTCCCACTCCCTCCCTCACCTAACAGGGGTCTTGATCTGCACCCCCACGCCCCTTCCCTCCCCCATCCCCATTCACCACAACAGACTTACCAGCTGCACAGAGCTGTATCAGATATTGGATCGGTATCAGCCAATATGCCTCTTTAAAAATCAGTTACTGGTATTGGCCCCAAAATTCTCTATCTGTGCGCCTCTATGCACAACCTTACCAACACATTTTAATAAAAGCCTTGCAAAGGTGAAAATGTAGTCAGGGAAGATCAGCTACCCACTTCTGGAATGAGAAAAGCTTGCATTCTTAAATTGTGTGCACTTTCAAAATGGGCTTTCTTTTAGAAAAATCTTTCTCCTGCTGTGATGAAGGAGCCCTGAGACTATTTGGCCTGACATTGATCTTGCTGTGATTTAAGGAACTTGTGTAAATGTAGAGTGGTCTAATGCAGCGTTTCCCAACCTTTTTTTGCCCCATGGCACACTTTCCTAAATAAAAAAAGCACTGTGGCATACTGGATGTCGGGGGGGGAAGGGGTGTTGGGTCGCAACCAACTGGACACCAACTGGGGGGAGGGTGCACAGCCAGCTGGATGGCATTTTGGGCTGGAGCCACGCCCCCTCCCTGGCTGGAGCTACACTCCCCGTCTGTTTGTGTCCGCAGCAGCAACAAGTAGGGGGGCATGGCTCCAGCCCAAAATGCCATGGCACACCTGGATGTGCCTGACAATGCACTGTTTTGGGAGTAATATTTTCTTGCTGTCATATTTAAAGAATTGATCCATTCAATTAAAAAAAAAAAAATTAAAACCCAGTTCCATCCTCTGTTTAATAAACCTGATGAGATGTGACTGCTGTGTTGAATTTCATGCTTACATGTTTCCTTGTTGCTTTCACATATATCTTGAGTTCCTAGTCACGACCTCTAGACAGTTTCCTATTGGAAAGCAATGAAAAGTTTGCTACTTGCACCTGGCAGCTTGAAAGCATAGTAATGGATGACTCAATAAATAACAATACATCTACTGAAGTTAAAAAATTGGCAAATAGTTCCAACTGCAATATGGCTGTGGATATTCCTGCCTAAAGAGGCATTATTTCAAGAAAAATGAAGCAAATGATATGGGTATGCTGTTCATCCCTTTTAATCCCCCCCACCTCGTTCCCCTCTGCTTTTTACTTATATGGCTTCAGGGTCAGTGAGGGAAAGCGAACAGAGAATGAAGATCTAAAAACTTTTTGCTTCTGTCAAGGTAGCTGTATGAAATGCTTGGATGACTGAATTCATAAGTAGTGTAAAAATCTTATACTGTGGAAGTGGAAAGATCTGAAGACATAATATTAGAGTTTAGCTGTGAGCTTCCTACATATTGCCAGTGCTTAAATGTTGCTGAATGGCAGAATGAATTGCAGGTTCTGTTCAGCTTTCCTGACAACAGTTTTTGTGATCTGACTTTCCCTTCCTCAGTTTTATTTTCTTCTTGGGGAGGAGTCTGGATTTTGTGGAGTGGAGAACTGTTTCAGTTCATGTCTGCTACAGGCACTCAGCAGGATGAGTCATATAGACCAAACCCAATGCCACATCATAAATGAATTACTCTTTCTGTAAATTATGAATCACTCCTGAAGGATGTACTTTGTAAAGATGTATGACAAACTGTACTGAACATACAGGTTGTCATGAGTGGACTGGGTTGGTACTAGGCTACCAGTTGTACTTAACTGTTTGTACGGACTTTTTAAAATAAAACATTGGAAAGCTTAGAGCAAAAGCTATGTCCCAAAGTAGTCTTTAGTTTAGCTACTCATTTTTCTCTATTATGACCCCCCTCATCCATAAAACTGTTGTCAGAACAGGTTGAGATCTTATGAATTTGATTTCTTAATTTGCTGTGTCAGGGTTACTTCCAAATACTGTGGTGCAGTCCATTTTTATTTAAAGTATTCCTTACCTCACAACCAGAAAAACTGAGAATAGGGTTAGCAATTGAGTTTAGAAGTCAAACCTTTATCTCAGTTTTACTGCCAGCTCATATTGTAAACAATCTTTTAATAAAGTGCTATCACCTGATGTATTCTCTCTCCAGGCTATGACTTCTGTCAGGTCCTCCAGTGGTTCGGTGAACGAGTAGACCGCATTATCCTCCTCTTTGATGCCCATAAACTGGATATTTCTGATGAGTTTTCAGAGGCCATTAAGTCATTCCGAGGCCAGGATGACAAGATTCGGGTGGTGCTTAACAAAGCTGACCAAGTTGATACACAACAGTTGATGAGGGTCTATGGTGCACTCATGTGGTCCTTGGGAAAAGTGATTAACACTCCTGAGGTGTTGCGAGTCTACATCGGTTCTTTTTGGGCCCAACCTCTTCAAAACACTGAAAATCGGAGGCTCTTTGAAGTAGAGGCCCAAGATCTCTTCCATGACATTCAGAGTCTTCCACAGAAGGCAGCTGTGCGAAAACTCAATGATCTCATCAAGAGGGCAAGACTTGCAAAGGTAAGATGCAAATAAAACCATTTTTTTTTAATAAGGATTCCCTTCTACTTGTTTGACTTTTTTTCTCTCTCTCTCTCCCCTCCCTCTTTCTCTTTCTCTCCAAAAACCTGGTGTTCTCTGGAAAGAAAAAGAAACTTAAGTCTACTATATACTCTTGTACAGGCTGTATTTTTGGTTGACTCTGCCTTTAGAAGTCGCACTTTCTTCGGTAAGGAGTTTTAATGCTGCTTTCTGAAGATAACTAAACAGCTAGTAGCCAGAGAGATGATGAAGAAAACACAGGATGTCCCTTCAGCAAACTGACACTTTCACTATCTTCATAACAGATGTCAGAGTTCAGACACAATATTTATCTGTGCATGTCCCCTCCCCTCTCACCTATATGCCCACTTACACACATTTTAAGGGCATATAACACTATTGGTTAATACTAGCACTATGGCTAACCGATATTGCTATTATTAAGCAACTTCCCCTAAAACTGCACATGCTGCATATGTTGTAGTGTTTAAAAAGTAGCACAGCTGCTACAGCAAAACTTGCATTCATTCACTTAGCAAAATGGCTCCCATATCATTTTTCCACGTTCCAGTCAAACAAAAAATCTCTCCATATTAAACCTGCTTTATCATCAGTCCAAATCTCCTAGATAGAAGGTAATATGAGCTTAGTGTCCATGTCCAGAAGAAATTCCAGTGTCTGACACATCAGGGAGGAAGAGAGTTGTAAGAGACCTTTTTTTGGAGGGCCAGGGTAGTCGTCTCTGTTTTCAGTTAGGGAAAATTGTATTTGCATGTGCAACCCAGGTAACTGGGCAGGCTACAAGAGCCACCTGATTTTATGTATAACCTAGTTTGCCTGAGTAAATACTGAGATTTTGTGCATGTATACCAGGGGTGGGCAATTATTTCGGGTGGAGGGTTGCTTACCGAGTTTTGGCAAGCCATCAAGGACCTCATGACAGGTAGCCAGGGCAGATAAATATTAATTTTCTAAATTTTTTAGGGGCCCCACGGGCTGGATAGAATGGCCTGGTGGGCCACATTTTGCCCACCTCTGATGTATACAGATGTATTTCAGAACTTTGTGGCTGTGATCAGTGCTGCCTATTGAACATGCATGTATAAATGTTGGTAAACTTCTAATTAAACCAGCATCTGCTTATTTGTAAAGCCTTCTGAATCCTCATCAAATTTTGTTTATGAATTTTAAAAGCCTTCTGATAATTACTTACACTAGTCTTCATGAGTAAGCTGCTTAACGCCTATTTAATACCTGTCTTCTGCTATACACCTTTCATACCTTGAGACAAACTGAATTGATTGGGTGTGAATTGATGGGTCTCTAATGGTTTCTTTAAATAGTTCCTTCATAAACTGCTTTCATTATCTAACATGGCAAGGCCAGTCAGAGTAATAGCAAAAAAAATGCATCTGAATTCTATTCTTTTGCATAACTCTGGGGACCGTTGAGTAATCATAGAATCAATGAGTTGGAAGGGACCTAGACAGATCATCGAGTCCGACCCCCTGCCATGGGCAGGAAGGAGCACTGGGGGTGGGAGGGGTAATAAGACCCCAGCCACGTGCCTCTCCAGTCTCCTCTTGAAGATTTCAAGGAAAGGTGAGAGCACCACCTCTCTGGGAAGCCCATTCCAGGCTCTGGCCACCCTTACAGTGAAGT